AGCAGAAAAGAAAACAAGGCTAATAGACAAGAGAGGAAATTGGAAGACGTGATTACACAAAAAAGAAGGGGAGTAGAGGCTTTACCCGCGCTAAACCTCCAAGAAAGGATATCCCCTGCTATTACTTACACTGATACGGATCATGTGGGAAGGACAACTCCCAATAAGAACTCGGTGCCTGGAGTACATTCTAGTATAAACGGCCCAGTGACGAGATCAAAGAGTCGTGCACATGCCCTAATTAAACCTATAAAGATGTCGACAATCTTAGTGGACATCCACTTAAGTATGAGCCAGTAGTATGTTTCAGCTGTCCCAAAAAGACAGTATAGTCTTAGGCTGCATCAATAGAGGGATAAGTATGAAGATCATGCAAAGTGAGAGTACCACTTTATACTGCACTGATAAGACTATACTTGAAATACAGCATCCAGTTCTGCTCACCACAATACAAAAAAGATGCTGGGACTCTAGAAAGAGTTCAGAAAGCAATAACAAAGATGATTACGGGATTGGAGGCTAAGCCATACAATGAATGATTGTGGGAACTGGATACATCTAGTTTAACAAAGGAATGGGGTGACATGATAGCAGTCTTCCAATATTTGAGGGGCTGTCATGGGGGGGATGTTAACCTATTCTCCAAAGATACTGGAGATTGGAGAAGAAATAATTGAAAGAGAGATCCAGTGAAAACAATCAAAAGAACAGTTGCTTGAAGAAATTGTCGATCATCCATTACTGGAGAATTTAGGAAGACATTGGACAGTCATTTGTCCAGAACTGTATAGGATCTCCTGATTGAGCCAGTCATTCACTATAAGATCTCCAGGGTCACTTCCAACTCCATTGTTTTAAATTCCTCTTCTACCCCCTCAACAGATCATTGATGATAATGTTCAAGAGCACTGGGCCCAAGACAGAACATTGAAGTGCCCCACATTTATTAGATGTAATTCATTAGATGTAATTCCATTGAGTATGATTGGTCAGCCAACTGTGAATCCTCTGGTGGTGGTATTATCTATCCCAAATTATTCCATCTTACCAGGAAGCTGGCTGTGGTCTATTTTGTCAAATGCCTTACCAAAATCCAAGTAAATTATATCCATAGCATTTCCTGATTCATTAATTTAGTCACTTTATCAAAAAAGGCAGTAAGGTTTGTCGGGCATCATCTGTTTTTAACAAACCCACATTGGCTTCTAGTGATTGCCTTGTTCATTTGAAGGTGCTCACAAATCCATTGCTTGATTATCTTTTCAGGATTCTCCCATATTGATGTCAGCCTGATTGGTCTGTAGTTTCCTAAATCCACCTTTACTTCTTCTTGAAGATTGGAATCACATCGACTCTTTTCCAGTCCTCTGGCATTTCCCCCATGTTCCAGGAACTCTGAAAGATTTTGTTCAGTGGTTCCGAGCTCACATCTGCCAGTTCTTGAGTACCTTGGGATGTAAATCATCCGGTCCTGGTGATGATTTACCCTCATCTAAAGTGGATAGGTTGTCTTTTACCAATTTCTTGCCTATTTTGACTTGCATTCCTGTTCTGTTTCTCATAGTGCTGCTGTTGATAGGTTGGGCTGTTTTTTTTTCTTTTGCATAAGAGAGATGGAAAAAAGGAATTAAGCAATTCTACTTCTCTCTGCTGCCAGTCACCTTCTTGCCATTTCCTCCCATTAGTGCTCCAATCATTTCTTTGACTTTCTTTTTGTTCCTTAACATATTAAAAGAAACTTTTTTTGTTATTTTTGTCATTTGTTACAAGCCTTAATTATTATGAGCCTTAGTCTTCATCCTTGCAGATTTGGGCCACACGTGATCCTTGACTTATGACCACAGTTAAGCTCATATTTCCATTGCTAGGCAAGACAGTTATTATGTAGTTTAACCTTGTTTTATGACCTTTCTTGCCACAATTGTTAAGTGAATCATTGTAGTTGTTAAGTTAATAATATAGTTGTTAAGTGAATCTTGCTCCCACATTGGCTTTGCTTGTCAGAAGGTCACAAAAGGTGATCACATGACCATGGGACATTGCAATCATTATAAATATGAGCCAATTGCCAAGCATCCAAATTTTGATCACAGGGATGCTGCTATGTTTGTTGAAAACAATCATAAGCCACTTTTTTCAGTGGCATTGTAACTTTAAACAGTCATTAAATGAATAGTTTTAAGTTGAAGACTACCTACATTTGCTGATATTCTGTTTTAGATTTGTCCCTTTTTATATTTTTTACACGTGTCCTTTTTGTCCTTCAATTTGTCAGAGAGCTCTTAGTGCAACCATGCTGGGCTCATCTGGTGTATTTTGTTTTCATTCTCTTTGGTATTGTTTTTGTTTGGGGCTTTAGTTTATTTTGATAGAAACATCCTTTACCTGAAAAGAATTATTCACTGTTAAGTGAAAATCCCTGTTCATAACATTTAATTGATGTAAAAAAACATTTTCCATGTTTTTATTTTTTGTTAATGACAGGAGATTGCAGAACCACTTTTAGACCTGAAGGAAGGAATGGACCAGCTAGAGAATAATGCTACCTTTGGATTTATTCTTTCTGCTCTCTTAGCTATTGGAAATTTTCTCAATGGAACCAGTGTGAGTAGAATTGCATTGAAAAAATTACTTACAACTATAATTTAGCAAAATTCATAAAAAATACATATCAGTTAAAAAATCCCCCTGAACATTAACAGCACTATTTATCATCATGTGCTTTCTATCTTCTTTATGGCCTTTGCAAACAATACAACTTCTTTTGTTACATGTTCATCTTCATCAGACAACAGGAAATATGTTTTTTTCTAAACTAGACTGAATTAATTGGATTAACAAGAGTATAGTGAATCTAGCTCTAGGTTCCTGATAAAGTTTGCAATGGGTCAAGTGGGTCACATCTTCCATCTGTAAATTATTAGAAATGCATAAATTGTGTTAGTTGGTAATTTTTTTGTATCTTCCATCCAGATAGGTTGTTGTCATTATTTGGAAGGAAAGTTCGATAAAGGCTTGTCTCAAAGAGTGGGATGTAAGAAATTGTAAATAATACAACATTCCTTGTTCTTCTTTAAAAAATCAGTTCAACTTAGCCAAATTAAACTTTCATATTTGCTCTCTATCTTGTCTAAAAAACTTTTTAAGAACAGTAAAAAAAACTTGTTTAAACAAGATAGAGAGCAAATATGAAAGTTTAATTTGGCTAAAGTTGAACTGATTTTTTAAAGAAGAACAAGGAATGTTGTATTATTTACAATTTCTTTCAATAGTGTATGATAAATGTGCTGGATCAGTCAGTTAGTTTAAGAACTGTGTTAAAATACTTAGCATTTACAGAGTTAATGCTGTATCCTCAAAAGAACTGTATGTTAGAGTATTTAGCATTTAAAGGGTTAAACGCTGTTTCCTTAAGAGATGGCTTCTGGGTAATGTAGTTTCAGTCATCAGTTAATCCTATAGTTCATTTAGACAGTGGGAGGAGTTAAAAGTTATTGCAGGACATCCTGTTACGTGCCAGGGTCGTAAAATTCCTTTGTGTAACCAGCATGTGGATGCATGTATGGCATCTGCAACCACGCTAAGCTGATATGGAGAATTACTGCTTTTTACCTATGGAAATGAACAAATATGCAAACACCGGACATATCTTCAGCATAGTAAGTCTTTGCTTAGAATTCCTGGACAATAAATATTTGTTTTAAAATCATTTTCATTGAGTTAATGCTGTCTGGACCAGAATTACAAAGCGTTTTAGTTCAGGTTCCAGAATAGTAAAAAGCAGTAGAAAGCAATATCTAATCTCTAAGTTTGCTCCAAGAAAGTACCTGCCTGCTACTGGATCTGTTTGCCAGCTAACGTTTTAAAGTAAAAGAACATTGCGTGTTTCTCTCTTTGTTAAAAGTAAAAAAGCTATATTTATTCTCTACGCATCTGCTGGCAAAAGTAAAGAAAGGATTTATTTCTGCTCCAAGAAATTGCCTGTTTTGAGAGAAATAAGAAGAGATTATTAACAGTGTCTGGCTAAAGCTATATCTTCATTAAGTGGCTGGGAAGCGAAGCGATGTCTGTGTGTTGAAGGGACCTATCCCCCTGTTGCAAGCCCAATTCACATTTGAAAGTATTCCCTGCAATAGCCAGTTCTCTGCTTGTCCACAAAGAAAAAACTGCTTTATAAAATCCTGTTTCTTTGGCTCAACGAACTAGCCGGCGTCTTCATTTGCATACCAATTTCGTTTGTTTGGGATGCCAAGCAATGTGTTTCTAAAGATCAGATGTGTGTGCCTGTTTTTAGCCTGCTTGTAATCCAAAGCATTCAGCTGCTAATGAACCAAGCTCTGAAGCCAGTGATGTGCATTTAACTCTTCGCATGTTTAGCTGCAATCAAAGTTTCTGCTTGCTACTCAGTCTGTTTGTTTGTGAAGATCTACATGCATCTACTTGGAGGGAGTTAAGCTGCATGAGAGAGACTTTGAATTGCAAAAAAAATCCTCATTTGATTAGATGCCTTGTTTGCCTATACCATAAAGTTATTTGCTGCAAGCACAGTTTTCAGAAATCTCTGTTGCCTTTGTCTAACATTCAGAGCGGGCAGCGACACTCCCCCCCCCTGCAAACTCAGCATGGTTGAAGCAAGGCAAGGAAGGGGGAGGCGGCCAGAACTGTGTGTGTTTAAAAGGGACAATTCAGAGATGAAGAGGCGTGCAATTAACTCTTCACATGCCTGGTTAACTGGTTGCTTGCTAGCAACCCCCCCAACAATTCTGAATGCCTAAAAATCTTCTACTGCATTTATTCTCTGCTTGCCATCTGGGTCAAACAGCTTGTCAAAGAATGCTGCTTTCCTTTGTGTAAAAAAGGCTACTCCGAAAGGTCCAGCAAAGGAAGCATTCACCTTTTGCTGGCCTCACAACCCAGACAATAAATCGATCCATTGCCAAGGAAAGTAATCAGTTGCTAAGGAAAGCAATAAATAACTATGGCAACCAGGCAACTGGTGTAAAAGGCTGAATTCTAACCCAGCTGGCCCCTCCTCTTGGATTGAAAGGGCTTAAACAAACAAAGTCCATTCTAAGCATAGTCTCAATGCAGCAAGGCCCTCTGGTGGCCAACCTACAAACAAGCCTGCATTTATGTTACCTGCAAAGCACCCTCTGGTGGCCAATCTGCAAACAAAGTCTATTCCAAGCATAGACTCAATGCAGCAAGGCCCTCTGGTGGCCAATTTGCAAACAAACCTATCCCAAGTATAGGCAAATGGAAGCAGCGACCCCTAGTGCTCAAAGAGTGAACTTTGCTGAAATACCCACGCACACATGCAGCAACCCCTAGTGGTCAATGGGTGAACTTCACTGAAGTACCCACGCACACAAGCAGCGACCCCTAATGATCAAAGGGTGAACTTCGCTGACGTACCCACGCACGCAAGCAGCGATCCCTAGTGGTCAAAGAGTCAACTTCGCTGAAGTACCCACTCATGCAAGCAGTGACCCCGGTGGCCAAGGAAGGAATGTCCCTGAAGTGCCTACCCAGATAGTGTGCGCCCTGGTGATGAAAGAGGGAACTTCCTTGAAGTCTCTAACCACGCAGCAAGTGTACCCTGGTGGCCAAGGAAGGAATTTCCCTGAAGTGCCTACCCAGATAGTGTGCGCCCTGGTGGTGAAAGAGGGAATTTCCTTGAAGTCTCTCCTACACAGCAAGTGTACCCTGGTGGCCTAGGAAGGAATTTCCCTGAGGTGCTTACCCAGATAGTGACCCCTGGTGGTCAAAGAGCGAAGTTCACTGAATTCGCCTCAAAATAGCTAGGAAGTTTCCTGAGCTTGTCCTAGCCATGGCAGAGTATCCCATTGATTCAGAAGAGTTGGTTCAATCAACCAACCTTGGTGAGCTGCTCCAACCAGCCAGACATGGAGAACTGCTGCAACAGCCAACCTTGACTTGTACACAGAAGCCGATGTCCAAGCTTCAGTGAGGCCAAATGACATGGTTCTTCACATATGGCAAGCAAGAACATCCAATGTTAGCAGACTTGACACCAAAGACATCTCAGAAACCTTATGATCTGAGGCAACAAAGAAAGCTTACTAAAGTCATGCAGTCGAACCTGTTGGAGAAATGGGATAGCATCCGGGACCGCCATGAAAAGTACTGGGAAAAGTTGTGGGAACTTGTGAGTCTTTCTTCCAATGGACAGACTCCGAATGCCATCTCGAAAGGATCCAGTCACAGCTAGGAGACCCAACACTTGATAGCTTGATGCAAAGCCTCAAGCTAAAAAAACAAGGAACGTAAAAAGTTTCTAGAGAGCATAAACGCCTCCTGGAGGCTGAGCCTCACCTGAAAGATATACCAACTGAGAGGGCTGAGTCTGATTTTTCCCGTCCTTCACATGCACCATCCCAGCGATCACATGCGGCACCCTCCCACGCCTCTAAAGAAGCTTCACCCTTTCACCATAACTCGCCACGATCCCAGGCGCATTCCAGCGTGTCACAACAACCTTCCGTCTCAGGCACCTCCCATCATTCTAAAGCATCTTCTCGTCACAGCTAAGCATCCCGAGCCTCAAGGGTAGAATCCTTGCCGCTCAACTTGCACAAGCATGAATCGATTCTGCGGAAGCTGATGCCGTAGCAGCAGCAGAGCAACAGCAAGAGGAAGAAATGGCCAAAGCACAGACCGCAGCAGCTCTACAGAAGTAGAGCGACAGAAAAATGACAAAGTGGCCAAAGCTCAGACTGCAGCGGCTATACGTGTGGCAGAAGCAGAGCAACGGGTGGCAGAGGCATTGCAAAAGCAAAGGGAAGAAACGGTCAAAGCTCAGGCCAGCTTCGAGCTTTCACAGCGCAAGAAGAAAGCAGCAGAAGTAGCTGTAAGAGCAACAGCTTTACAGAGAGAGCTGGAAGGCACTACTTCCACGCACAATTTGGAAGGGCTAAGAAGAGAAAGCCCGCATAACCGCGTGCAGACCTACGTTGACAACCAGAGCGCGTTTCAACATGAGCAGGCAGGAGCACCGCGGCTAACCGCAAGTTCCCCAAGACGAAGTGAACAGGAAGGAGAATCTTAACCACCAGATGTGCCAATCAGCCAGAGAGACGACATTGCACCATCTGGATCATGAAATCTTTACTCCAGAGCTACACAACCGACTCCAACGAACCAAACCACAGATGGTAACCGGATAGGTCCATCTGCAATGGCAATGACTCCACAGCAGGAAGAGCAGCTGTTACAGGACGAGATTGCCAGGACTCAGGCCAGGCTAGAGTCTCTACTGCGTCAACAGGAAACAGCATCCTGAGGCGCCACTTTCACGCCCGACCATGGAGGAGAATCTTGGCTACCAGATGCGCCAACTGGCCAGGGAGCCGGCAACGCACCATCTGAATGATGCCTCTTCAGCTTAATGTAAAGGCAGAGGAATTCAGGCCAAACCCACAACGCCCCTCGTATGTGCCATGGCAACACGCTGAAGAAAATCACCAGCCAGCCCTGGCACATGACCCCACTCTCGGGAGCAATGCACCACCACCGCCCAGCTACACCCCCTCCCCAGCACCAACGTATCCTCAAAAGCCCTGCAGAGGAAGGCTAGATTTGGC